AAGTATAATTTTTGGCATGATCGTTTGCTTTTATGCCAATAGAGGGCGTATAAAATATTACGGTAGATGGCGCTGCCCAATTTTACACAAACTTGACCCATAGATGGCGCCACTAAATTTACGTCGTACGCCGTTTGCCTAATTACATACTACTTCTGTCCGTGTGTCTGTCTGTTTCTACGCGAACTAGTCTCTCAGTTTTAAAGCTGTCGACTTGAAAATTTGCACACACCCTTCTTTCCTTTGCACGCAGTATATAAGTCGGAACGGACATGCCAAAATTCATAAGTATCGGCCGACTATATCCTATATCTGCCATAAAACTGAACGATCGGAAATGACCCAACTTTCGTGTTTTGGAAGAATAGCTGAAACTTAGTACAGATTCTATTTTTGGTCAGTTGATCCAACCTACCAAATTTCATTAGAATCGGCCGACTATATCCTATAGCTGCCATATAACTGAACGATCGGAAATGGTATTTGGTAGAAATATCAACTTTCGTATTTTTGAAGATAGAAGCTTGGGACTTTTTTTTAGATTTTTTATTTTAATTAATTAGTTTTATTATTATTTAATCATAGGGATCGGCAAACTATATCCGATGTTTGCGATATATCTCCGGTTTTAACTGCAAGGGTATATCAACTTCGGCTCCGCCCGAAGTTAGCTTTGAGCTTTGAAAAATGAGTTTAGCTACTGTATTCACACTTCACAAAAGCACCATCTATGTATGCATGTATGCTGCGAGGATCCTCTTAAAAATAGGTAGCGTTTCAGAATAATGTTGAATCATACAAAAAAAGGTTTGCCCTACGCAAAGGTGGCGCTTTATACAACAGTTGATTTGTACGAGGACAGTAAGTGGCGCCATCTGTGAGAACGGCCTTTAAATGTTAAAACCTGTACAAAAAAAATTTCTAATTGGAATGTATTTATAATAACAGGGTTACATAAGCGATATTTACTTATTAATGGTCTACCTCTGAAGGTATATTTCACCACTGCACTATGGGCGATTTTTCATAATGGGCGGCTTAAAGTCATAAAATTTATGGTGAAATATTAAGGAAATGTTTTTTTTTATTAATAGTAAACAATTCAGTTAGCTGAAAAACAATTTTTTTTTTTATCGGGTAGCAACTCTCTTTTTGTGGCAGCCCTTCAAAACCAGATGATCTGTTGATGCTCGAATTATATAAATTGGCACAAAAAATTTCATGCTGTTGAAAGTGCCTAAATTATTATTGGCTTCGTTTAAATTAATAAGTGTAATATGGATAGCAAAGCTCAACGTATTTAGAATCTTTTATTTACGATAAATGTGTATAAATGTTCGTGGTGTTTTTAATTTCCAGTGTTATTGTTGATTGTATTTTTAGCAAAAATCTAACAATTTTAATTGTGTTCCGTGGAGTATTTCTTGAAAAGTGCATATCAAAACATCCAACTAAAAATGGCAAGTTACTAACGAAAGTGTCTAGTTTATTGTAGTAATCATGTTTTTTGCTCTTTTTGTTCCTTTAAAAGAAAAATGCACTTGAACATCCAACATCAGAGCTGAGTTCATACAATTTTTTTAATGATGAAGACACCGAATCAGACAACGAAAGCGATGAAAAACATGAGAATTCTTTTGTTTTAGATGAAGAAGATTATTAACTTTTTGTTTTTTTAAGTTTAGAATATTGTTAAAACATGGTAAAATATTATTTTTTCTATTTTTATGCTTTGCTTTATAATAAAAATTTAAATTTTTGTACAAGTGCCGGGGCTATAAAGGGGCGGAAAATAAAGGCATGGTCAAATTAAATTAAAAAAAAAAATCCGAAAACAAACTAAAATATTAGTAACCTTAAAAAAAAAATTAAGCTCCTAGCTCTATGTGTGGACTTTATGCCGTCAAAATCAACTAATCGCCCATAGTGCACTGGCGAACTACCATAACTTTACCAGAGTCGTGCAACTAAAACAAATATTTTATGCATAACAAAATGTTGTTTAGTTTTCAAAAATATTACTTTTAATAGGAATTTTGAAAAAAAAAAATAAAAAAAAAAGGGTTACAAGGTCACACAATAATCTCAAATTAATAGTTGAAAATGAATCTGTTAGTAAATCCTGTCTTAATTGATACGATTTGTATGATAAGAAATATAGTATATTTATATATTAATCCGAATACACAACTGAGTATTCAAATTTCATAGCTGATTCGTAGTAAATTTTATTATAAGTGCAAAAAAGTGTCTGTATTTCAATTTAGGCTCATCAAGAGTCTGACAGTCCAATAGTCCATTAGTCCAATAGCTAATAACATGATTGTGAATATACAAAAATTGTACTAAAACATCAAAGTGCAAAAAACGGCATTTTAAGCCACATTTCTAAGAATTTTTGAATGGCCTAATTAAGTTTCGCTTATATTATGTTTTTGTGTATAAAAAAAAAAATAAAGTGAAATTGTGATTAAACAATTTTATATTGTAAAACATGGTTTTCATAATGGGATATGAATTGAATCCAGAAGAGTCAGTCCATAAATGAAATATTTTGTCTGTAAAGGAGAATCCAATTGTTGTTCGAATAAGTGTAACTAAAGAGTGCACTTTTATGCAATTTTGTTTAAATTCATATTTTTAGAAGGCAACCTTAAAGCTGTTAATGTGAATGTCTTAGCTGTGAGACCAATCTCTGTAACTATGGTGCTTTGGTACTATATTGATTCTATATCAAACAAACTTATTTTAAAAACTTAACTCGTTCTTTTTTGCTTCATTTATTTATTTATATAAAGTTTTCTTTTTCTTAATCAGCTCCTTAGCGGCGAAATAAATAAAGAAAACACCAAAATCCAATCGGTTTGAATTCATTTTTGCTTATTTGTTTTTTGTTTACAAACAACAGCTGTTCAGTATTACCGTTTTCCTTAATTTTTTTGGTCACACTAGCTCGGTAGCTGAATAAAGTGCGATTTCGCTAGCGGATTTTCGTCAACTCAGTACCCGCAAAATCTAGAAGGCAAAAATTTCTTCTTCTTTCCTTTTTTACACCGTTTTTTATATGGAGTTTGACAGCTGACACTCGTTGGACAGCGGATTTTCGTCAACTCAGTACTCAGTGCTTTAAGAAAAGAAAAATTCTGGAATATGTGGAATGTGGTAGCAAAAAAAATACAAAAAAGCCCAGTATTAAACAGTATTACAAAGAACACGTTCAATATCTTTTGAACAAATCCCCAGCTCTCCCATTTTTTATGCTTGTTAAAATCTATAATTGGTTGCCATGCAAGTAAATACCAATTAAACACCAATCACTTCATTGAAGTTTAAAAAGGAACTATACAAGTGATCACAGAGCTGCAATAAATTTTGAATTTTTCGAATTTGGTTTTACTCCCCAAATCAATTTGTCAACAAACGAAATTTTTCCTCTCCTGCAACCTTTCATAGTCCATACACTTCAATAGAAGTATCGGCGCAGTCATGATGATAAGCTTTTTTGAAATACAAAGTCAAAAAAACTCCTAGTACTATGTCAAGTTAAAGCCTATTTTCTCCTTTGTGCATAGGTATTACTTGCGTCGTCGTAGAGCTAGTTATTGCACTCCAAACATGAGTTTTATCTTTAGAGCAGTGGTGCCCACACAACCGTTTCTTTTTTTTGCGGTCTTGTAGAATTTTGTAAATGGATGATGCATCATTTAGGGCATCAGCTAGCATTCCTGAATTCATCGTAAAGCTTGGAGGCCCAGACGACAGAGGGGCTCGAGAAACGGTTTAAAATTCTATATTTTTAATTTGAAGGACAGAAAGGAGATTTTATAGAGTAGAGACCATTGTAGTTCAAACTTAAGACCCTAAAAGGGTCGTGCTGTGAATATGTCTAACTACAATGGCTAAGGAATGGAGGACTAAAGTTTCTATTCCTTTTATTAGGAACATTAAAGTGTTAGTAAATGCTGGCTATCCTCATTAGGATAGTTAATTAAGCTTGGCATTAGTTAAGCTTGGTACGTTTATTTGTAGGAGTCTGCTACTATAAGATGGAAGATGAAGATTGCATCCCAGTTAAGACCTCTGGATTGGAGTTGTTTTGAAGACAAAGCTTAACATTATCTGCATACATAAGAGCTAGAGGGTTCGTTAAAGCGGGGGGCCAGTCATTAATAAAAAGAGTAAATAGTAACGGACCAAGATGACTTCCTTGGGGGACGTCAGATGTAGCCGGGACTTTTGAGGAATTTTTACCGAAATAAGTAAAGTTATAGGATAGGATATACTTGGTAGTATTTTTTCTGAAACTAAGTCTTGCTCCAACACAGAAAAAATTTCGGTAACAAAAAATAACAAAATTAGATTAAAAACATTTTTGTATGATTATATTTTGAGCAAAAGTTTCTTCAAACTCATTGTCTTCCCTGAGCAAACTATGTTTATTTATCTCTAAGCTTGGGAAAATGATGAAAAATCATGATCTTTTGAATTTAAAATATCAATTTTCGATTTTGATGATCAATATTTGGTTCAAAATTACTCGATCAGTTTAAAACGCAGAAAGTTCAAAATGTTTTATTTTGGTCGGCTATATCGACTCATCAGATCAAAATGTGGATAAAATGTCAATTCAAAAGCTTTGTGGTATTTATTTGTTTTTATATTCAATGAGATTGTCAATTTTCCAATACATGACAGGGACTAGGAAATATCGTGCTATGGGTGCCGACCGATGGAGGATATTTCGTTTCCAATATATTTTGAGGAAATCTTATACATACGTTCCAAGTCATTTTGGCCATCATATTCGTGAGTCAGTTATATAAAGGGTTGGGATATTTTTTCTGTGTAAGTAAATTTAAAATCCCAATTTGTTACTAAAATCGATATCCTGCGTTCAATGAATGAAAAAAAGCAACCACCGTAGATCAGAGGAGTGACACGTTTTCCACACTTGGCGCGGTAACCACCGAGAATTTAGTTTCCGAGAATAAACAGGAGAATACAAGTTAGAATCATAATACATTTGTATGTAGTATATGCATGTTGTGTTTTACAGGTGTTTCTGTCATTACAAATTAAGGTTTCGGTTTGCGTATAATTAATTACGACTTTATATGTACATACAATGCTTTCGTTAAAAATAAAAAAAAATTAAATGTGTAATTAAAAATCAAGCAAATGTCTGAAAATATTCACTTTGTTCCAATTTCTAAAGTCCCGCAGAGCCGGAACGGATATGCAACTTGCACATATCGCTTCCCCTCGTTCTGATGATAGATGCCGGATTCTGGATGCTGTGTGGATAGGGCGTATAAGAAGATGAGTGGGGGTGTTCGCAAGCTTGATCGGTCCGCTTTTAACTACCATACCGTTTCGCAAACCGGCCACCCCACCGTCGGATTGCAGTGTCAAATTGAATATGTCTCAAAAGCCACACAGGTCAGATCGGCGTTGCCTCACTTCGCTCGGCTCGGCTCAGCTCAGCCTCTTCATCTTAGCACTGTGTTGGTTATAATTAATAGTGATTTTTATTGTGGTTGCCGTTGTTTATAGAGTTTAGCTTTTTGCTTTTCATAAGGTTTTTTGCTTGAAAGAGTTGCTTTTTGTTATTGTTGCCGCAGGTTCTGGTGTCCCTGTCACTGTCCATGTGGCTATGGTTGTTGGAGTTGTTAAGCAGTCTTGTTGGTTCCTAAGACGCAGCTGCTGCCGTGACCGAATCCGACACCGGTTCGCTTGAACTGAAATTAATGTGATTCAACTGCTGCTGCTCTTCCTCGGCGCGCAGTTTGGCGGCCTCCTTTTCCTGCAGCTGCGCTTCCAGCTCCTCGACATTACGAAATACGCGGGCATACTGGAACCGTTCGTGGCACGCCTGCTGATATGCGGCTGCTTCTGAATCACACTCTCCGAACACATCGCCGTCCCGCAACGCTGTGTAGACCTTGATGGCCTCCTATAGTCAAAACCAATTGTCAGTCGCAAGGTTAAATGGAGAGACTTTGAATAGATCAATGCTTACCTCTAGAGTAATCTTGCTCAGATTAAAGCTAGTGACCAGTTGAATCGCTGCGGCCTTTTTGCTGTGATCCAGCTCGTACAAACTTCGGGCTCCCTCATATAAATGCAGAATGGAAGCGTTGTGCTTGGCAATAAACTCGTCGTTGAGCTGTTGGGGCGTCCTGTTGCCTATCAGTTCTTTGGTGGCCTTGTCCAGCACTTGCTGAACATGCTCGTTTAGCGGCTGCTGTTTTATGGTAGCAGCCAAAGACTTCATGAATCGAATGATGCAGCTGTGGACCTCAGGATGCGCAGGGTTGACGGCGCGAGCTCGCTGAATGGACTGCAACATGAGAAGCAGCTTGTTCTTGCGGTAGTACACCTCGAAGGCCAGCAGGTGCGTTTCGATCCGCTCCTTGGCCAGCTGTTGCAGCGGCTTCAAGAAGTCGATAGCCTTCTCCAGTGGATCGTCCGTTCGTTCCAGCTTCTCTGCCACCAGCTCATCCAGTTGCGGGGCGTCCGGATCGGTCTCTTGATTAGCTTGTTGCTTCGATTTCTGATGCTGCTCGCGCTTCACCTGCGCCTGCGCGGCCTGCGCACTCTCCAATTCGGCTTTCTTTTTGGCCTTGCGCTGCTTGCTGCGGAGCTTTTTCAGCTCCGAGGGAGGCAGGTTTTCTGTATAAACAATGGAAAAGTGTAAAGGGCAAGCCTCCAAGCATACCTATAGCCTTAACATACCTATGTCAATCTCCTCGATAGTCGCCTCCAATTTGAGCGGCTTATCGTACAGACGAATGTACACTTCAATGGCACACTTAGCTGCCTTAAAGTAGAAGGGATGCTGTCTCAACACATCCTCTAGGCGCAGCAAGCCCACGTAGGCACGGAGCGTCATCTTGCGCATACAATAGGTGTGGAAGTCGAATTGGTCCTCCACGATCTCTGCAAAGTGTCGCTCCACTTCGTGGCACTTCTTCAAAGACTCTCCCCACCGACCCATTCGCTGGTAGGCGAGAGCACACTCCGTCTGGAACCACATGCACTGCATCTCGTTTAAGTTGTCCATGGCCGAAACGCCCTCCCGGGTGAACTTGGCGCAAATCTCTTCAGCTTCGCTCACCATGTTGGCGCGCAGCATATACTTGGCGCATTTTGAGTTTATATATCTATGGAGGAAAATAAAATCAGGGTCTGTACGCTACATACCAAACTAGTCAAGCTTACCGGTCCGCCGTGTCCATGCTTTGTGCCTCCTCCAGCCACACGTAAGCTTCAACCGGGTCACCCGCGTGCTTGAAAATTCGTCCCTTGGTGATGAGCAGCTCGATCAACGTGGGTGTGTGGTCAATTGCAACGTTGATGTACTCGAGAGCCCGATCCGTATCGCGCATATAGTCATAGTGCTGCGCCAAAAACAAGGCTGTCCATACAAGCGCGGACGCTGGCTCAACTGGAACCCCGGCGTCGGCATCTTCCCGCGAAAAGTGTCCCGATCGGGTGAGGTTCTCGAAATACTGCAATGCCAGCTCCTCGATGGTAGTCGCCTTCTCTGACTTCTGATGCAGCGTGCGCACATTAACGAAGAGCGGCGGAATTCCCTTACGGAGCCCTCGACGAAGGTACTCATCGGCTACTATACGGAATTCGCTTCCGCTAGCAACATTCAGCGGCAGACGGCGAGGACAGAGAGCACGCGGGTACTGCTCCTGGAACACGCGGTAAGCGGCCACCACAGCGCTGGAATCAGTGAGCTGGCGGGCAGCGAGATACTGCTCGTAGTAGAGCACGTTTTCGGGATTGCGGCGGATCAGCGACTCGAAGATTGGCACAGCCTTTTCCTGCTGCTGCAGTTTGATGTAAAGATCGCCCATAGTCTCCCGGACGGCCAGTTTGTCCACTATCTGGGACTCATATTTTATGAGGTGGTCCAACGCCTGCTGCAACCGTTCCGATTCTATGAGTATCTGATTCTGGTAAAGTAAGAGCTCCGAATGGCGGTAGTCATGCGCCTCCTGCAATGACAGAATAAAACAGCAAAAGCCAATTTGGACAAATCGAATATCAAAAGGCATTTATATGTGTGCTGCTACTTACAATTGAGTTTTGCGACTGGCTAAAAGTCTCCAGGATGTTGTTGGCCATATCGTAGTCCCTCACTAGGTGGTAGCTCATGGCGAACCCAATCCAGGAGGCTTGTTGCGAGGGTCGCAGCGTGAACAGGTGGTGTCGAGTCTCCTTGTAGCCCTCCAGGTCCCGCATCTGTATCTGCAGCAACGACAAATCCTTCAGGATCTGCAGATTATCCTTTTCCCACTTGAGCGCGTTGCGGTAGCACTTGATGGCTTCGTCGTACTTTTTATCACTCCGCTGTAGCAGTCCGTAAACGTGCCAGCAGACGTGGGAGCGCAGGTCGTTTCTTAAACCCAGTCGAACATACTTGTAGGCCTCCTCCCTCCGCCCGAGCCCGTTCAGGGTGAGTCCTTTCATTGCCAGCGTCTCGCCGTGCTCCATGTACTTGGGGTTTGAGAGAATCTGCTTCGCCAGCTTAAGCCCATTTTTGTACTGCTTCAGTTCATAGCATTTCTGCAAAGTGCAATCAAGAATTAGTCAACGGTTCCCACGCATCGCGCCCAATACCCATTTTGAGGTTATGCGACCGCGGTCGGCCAGCAGTTGGCGTCGGTGGGGCTCAAAGAGGTGCCTCCAGTTTCCTGGAGGCGACCTCGTCCCGGACGGGAATGGCATGCGGCCCCCTCGTCTCCAACTGCCCTTGCCGCGGTCCAAAAATAGGTTCATTAACTAAAAGCACATGGAAAGCCCCTGTCGCTACCATGCAGCCATTAAAAGCCGGTAGTTCCAGGGGCGGGGTGCGGGCGGAGGTGAGCGGGTGCAGGTGAAGCGCATGCCACTTACAAGTAGCTTGCGGAAGAGCGCACCCTCCTTGGGTGGCAGTGGATCGTTGGAAGGCATCTCTGCAACGCTGCTTCTGCTTCTTCTTATTCTCGGTCTTGTTCTTCTTTAGTTGCTGACTGTCGTCTCGCCTGGCTCGCACCGGATAACGGATTTTGCGAAGTGTGCTGCTTCTGTAGCTTGAGCTGCCTCTACCTCTGCCTGGGACTAGAGCTGAAGCTTAAGTTGGCTGGATTACAGTTTCTAGAAGGTGCACACACGCAGAGGGACAAACACGGCAAAAACGGCGCACTGCGAGCACGAGCAAATTTCTAACTCGACACCACGAACCAGAACTATACACACACGCATGCACGGTCACACACACACGCTTGTTTGCACGCGCTTCGGGGGGAACGACAATGACAATCGATAACTATTTTGCGGTAGGCGGTTAGTTTAAATCGCATATTTATGCATTTATACATTTAACTGCAAAAGTATGTTTAAAACATGTTTTCTCATCTTTCTCATCCCAGCGTTTTAGGCCATTAAATCTTATTAAACACATTAATCAAATCTGTATAAATAAGTAGAAAGAAGAAGAACCTCCGAGGCGCTAGTTATGTAAAGCATGTGATCATTAATTAAAATTATGTTGGAGCGTCTGTGCCTTGCATTCATCAAAATGATTTATATAATAAATTCCACCCAGCCAATTTCGCAGTAGCGTTTGATTCAAAACATATCCACAATTGGTTAAAAACTCTCAACCGAAAAGTGCCATTCACTGGAAACTAAAAATCAGCTGTCAGCCGATAGCCGATACACGGGCGCCATCGTTATCAAAACCAATTGGACTCCGGAAGGCACAGCAAAATGAATTCACTGGCCAAGATTGGGGGATTCGTGTGCCAAACTGTACAAATAGCCGGCTGTGGTGTAAGTATTTTGCCCTTATAGATTCCGTAAAAGGATAATTAACATATACTCTCCCAACTTTTGCCCATTACAGTTGCAGCAGGTGCGCACCAAGTATGCCGATTGGAGGATGATCCGGGACGTTAAGCGCCGCAAGTGCGTCCGCGAGCATGCCGTTGAACGACTCCGCGTCAACTCCCTACGAAAGAATGACATCCTTCCATCAGAACTAAGAGAAGTGGCTGATGCTGAGATCGCTGCCTTCCCGCGGGACTCTTCGCTTGTTCGCGTAAGGGAACGCTGCGCCCTTACGTCACGGCCGCGCGGCGTCGTCCACAAATACCGGCTCAGTCGTATTGTATGGAGACACCTGGCTGACTACAACAAATTATCAGGCGTACAACGCGCCATCTGGTAGTTTGTTTTGTTAGCAGTAAAAAAAATAAACCACTGTTTTTCCAACTGGAGCATAGAGCATTGCAATGTTATCGGTTTAGGGGTGCGTTTCTCACAGCTGACTGTTATCGAAATCTGTGTTGTTTCATAGACTTGAGTCTAAAATGTCCAGGAAACAGAGGATCAACTTGATAAATTTCAGCTTTCTTGACCATAAGGCAGAGCTGAGAGCTCTTTTTCGGGCCAAGGGTCGCCGGGAACCTTGCTGTTTGGTGGAAAGCGAGACCGACTTCTGGCAGTTTATTGGTAAATACGAGGCTATGATGCGGGCTACAGGTCAGCCGGAACTACCGCAGCTGCTTAGCAGTAAGGAACTTTCCTCTCCGCAACCCTACCATCGAACCAAGCACCTGGCCATGGAACTGGACGAGGAGCAGATGCTTCAAGAAGCCCGTGGGGAGATGGAAGCGCAGTTTCGGCAGTTAATTCTGATTTACCTGGACTTCCGGCAAAAGGAGAAGTTTCAGCGCATCCGCAAATTGCGACAGGCGCAGCGTTCCCTGCCCATAGCCCGCTTCCGATGTGATTTGCGGGAGGCCCTGGACAATAGTCGTGTGCTCATAGTGGCCGGCGACACGGGCTGCGGAAAGTCCACCCAGGTACCCCAGTTCCTTTACGATTTCGGCTATCGTAGTATAGGTGAGTATTGACAACACTTGTGGAAAGGATATTGAGCCAGATTGATTTATTTGACAGCCTGCACACAACCACGTCGCCTGGCTTGCGTTTCCTTGTCTAAACGCGTTGCCCACGAACTTCTGGATGACTATGGAAGCCGGGTTGGCTTTCAGATTCGGTTTGAAAAAAGTCGCACTCAGCACACCAACATCACCTTTATAACGGAGGGCCTGCTTCTGCGCCAGTTGGCGGTGGGCGCTAATCTAGACCAATACGACGCCTTAATTTTAGACGAGATTCATGAACGAAACCTGTTTGGAGATTTTCTTTTAGGAGTGACCAAGTGCCTGTTGCGGGCACGCCCTCAGCTCAAACTGATTCTTATGTCAGCCACTATTAATGTGCAGCTGTTTCACAACTACTTCCAGGAAGACGGCGCTCGCCTGGTTCAAGTTCCTGGGCGCCTTTTTCCCATAAAGTTGCGCTATGTTCCGCCACCAGCGCTAGAGCTTATTGCTGGCCAATCGGGCAGTTCAACTAAACACCAAAGCGGGCGTCTGGACCCGGCTCCATTTGTCCAAGTGCTCAGTCTTATAGACCAGCAGTATCCTAGTGAGTATATACTTCTTCCCTAATCCATTTTTGTGCTACTACATTCATTATCAGCTAGCGAACGCGGAGACGTGCTCATTTTCGTAAGCGGGGTAAACGAGATCGAGTCCGTGGTAGCTGCCGTTGAGGAGTATGCCACCAAGCAGCAGCACTGGATTGTCCTGCCTCTGCACAGCGGATTGGCTCTGGCTGAGCAGGACAAAGTTTTCGACTACGCGCAAGAGGGCAGTCGCAAATGCATCGTCTCCACCAACATTGCCGAGACCTCGCTCACAGTGGACGGCGTGCGGTTCGTCATCGACTCTGGCAAGGTCAAGGAAATGAGCTACGACGCCGCCGTTAAAGGCCAACGCCTAAAGGAGTTTTGGGTGTCCAAGTCATCTGCTGAACAACGCAAAGGTCGCGCCGGTCGCACTGGTCCAGGCGTAAGCTTTTCTTATCGAATCTCCTGGCCTAAATAATTTAAAAGCACCTATGATTCACAGGTATGCTTCCGACTCTATAGCCAAGCCCAGTTCGATACCTTCGAGCCTTACCCGGCTCCGGAAATTCACCGTATGCCGCTTGACACAATGTTGCTGCAAATGATTTCAATGGGATTACCCAACGTCCGTGATTTTCCCTTTATCGAGGCTCCGAAATCTGAGCAAGTGGAGCAGACAATTTTGGCTTTAAAACAACACGTAAGAAATGGCATTTGGATTTCAAAATGTATATTTTTATTTGTTTACCCTTCCTTAAAAATACGGATGTATTATGTGCAAGTTAAACTTTTTTGTGTTGCTTCTTATTCATTCGAGCTCGGTCGTTGCCAAACTTAGATTAACTTAAGACATACAAAAATCATACGATCTATCATAGAGCTGATATTATAATAGTGTTGACATGCTTGACGGAATCCCGCTTACGACGGATAGTTTCTAAGTTAGCTGCCTCTAACTCGTGGTAACTTGTATACGAGAAAATTTGGCGTTTGCGAAGCCATCAAGCATAAACAGCCGATTCGATGCAGCAAGAATACTGGGAGAATCTCTAGAATCTTTGACACATAATTTTACCTTGTAAAATGAGTAAAAATGTAAAAATTGAAAGACCACTTAGAGTATATAAATGGAATTTGTATAACCCTTGCTATGTATAAGGAAAACAAAAAAACAATTATTATTATTATCATTATAAAACATAGAAAAGTTAACGCAACTAGATCAACTTCGGCCTTCGGCTATGTGAGTTGCTATTCTGTCTAAATTAGGCGACTAGTCTTCTTAAATTTTTATATTCAGATTCTATGGTATAATTGTGTTGTTTTAAGGAAAAGTATTTGTCTAAAATGGTCGCTAATATGGTGACTATTGATTGATGGTGGATTGATGGATTGGTACCATTGATGTTTTGATTTTGTCTTGCCTTGAGTTCAGATTCGAATTTTTTTTATCTGTAGGATTTATATTTTAAGTACAGATTAGTGGACTTTTATCGGTCGACTTTGCTGCTTAATCTGCTAATTGCCTGCATGGCCAGGAATCCACATTAATTTGATTTTTGGGGCTAACTTTGTTATTGATCTTATTTTATTTGGATAAATATTATTGTTTGTATTTTTAAATGAGTCTATTGCTGCGAGGGAGTCTGAACAGATTACACATTTGCCTCTTTGGTTTTTTATAATTTCGAATTTTTGAGCTTTGTTTTTTATTTAAATTTTTTATCACTGAATATGAGTGTCCTTCAACTTCGAATAATAATGATTTTGCGGCTAGAAACTGAACGAAACTTAAATTTTATTATAAACCTTTGTTATAAAAAGTAAGCACCTTTTATTTTTTTAAATTTTTTCTTTAAAAAGGTAAATAAAACGGGTCTTGATAAATATTTATGTAGGTAAGTGTGAATGAAACCGAAAATAGAAATTTAGAAAAAGTTCATTATACCGGATATTCGTAAAGTACGACGGTGCAAAAAAGTTATGAATTTTTCATAGGTCAATATTTGACTATTCAGCTGTTTCCGGCAAGGCGAGAAAAGCATAAGTGATAGCCACAAATGGAAATTTAGCTCTGTTTTGAATGTAAGCCACCAAGAAGTCTCAAAGCACCTACTTTCTCGCAAACAATGTTTAAAAGTTTCCTTTTATTTAACAGCGATGGCTATTCCACAATCCAGCACGAGACAGCCGTACACATTAAAAAAAAAACTTTAACGCACGCACGAAAGGTTTACCAAGAAGCATTTTATCAGCGTTAAGGTGTAGTTTTTGCAAAATATATTTGCAAAATTCAAGCATCTTGCGCGGGCCACAAACGGAAATTTCGGTGAAAATGCCATACATATGTAGTTGATTAATCTTCGTGATGATTTCTTGGTCGCTCTAGATGCTCACAACATAGTTGTAAGAAGAGACCTATTTATATTTTTCAGCTTTATACATGGCAGTTACTTAGTCGACCAAACTAACTTAGCTTGGAGCCTTTTGAACAATCCGATCTTCGATATCATATAATTCAATGATACAACACTTTATTGAAATCTTGATATACTGAGAATACTTAGGACAATTGTAGTACCCCAGCAGGGGTAAATGATACATATGTTTTAAAAATAATTATATGCTAAAACAAAAAATTTTGAATTAATTTTATTTACAAGAGAATCTCATCTTTCATGGGCTCATCATAAATTCAATAGTTAGTAGATTTGCTTATTCATTCATTATTCTTTTTTGTTATTCTTATCAGTGCGCCCTCAGCGTGGAGGAAAAGATCACTCCGCTGGGTAGCTCGCTAGCCAACCTACCCGTAGAACTCTCAATTGGCAAAATGTTACTCATGGGCTGCGTATTTCCAGAGGTGGAGCAGTTGCTTACCCTGGCTGCCATGCTTAGCGTACAGAACCCGCTGACAACCCGCGCACAGACAGACCACCGCTGCGAACGCGAACGCCAGCCGTTCGAATCCGACCAGGGCGACCTCTTCACCATTCTGCGATGCTTTCGCGAGTGGCTGCAGCTGAAGTTGCGTCGCGAGGAAACTCGGAAGTGGTGTCACCGCTTGGGCATCGAGGAGCAACGCTTTTATGAAGTCACCAAGCTACGGAACCAGTTTCAGCGCATTCTTGAAAGCTGCGGCATGGCAGTTGGCAGCGACTCTGGCTCTGGACCGGGCTCAAGCTCCCAGCTGACCAGCGCCGAGCGTTTATCACGCCATGGGGAACTTATCCAGCTAAAGGCCCTTAAGCGACGCCAGCGATTCGAGCAGCCTCGGCAACGAAAGCTTCTCAAACATCAGCACCAGAACGGTGAAGGCCAGGGCCTCGACAAGCAGGACGAGGACATGCGCGACGTCGACTTGCGAATGCGGCACGATGCTCGTCAACTTGCGCGGCTAGAACGCTCGGCCCGTCTCGACCGACACAGGGACGTGATGCTGCTGAAGCTTCTGATAGCTAGTGGCTTTTATCCGCAGCTGGCTGTCGGCGACGAGTTTAACTACTGCAAGGGAGGGGCGCAACAGTTCTTCCACTCGCGCCTAAAGCCATTTCTGTCTCAGCATCCCAATTCCCACTTCGCCAAGTACTTTGATCTCCTTCAATTGTCCGACAGTGACATGCTGACCAAGCCACACTATTACTCGACTAAACATCCGCTCAGCTCGCGGCATCAGATTCTCTGTTACCAGTTAGTAGACCTCCAATTGCACCAAAAATTTGTCTCTAATCCTACTTAACAGGTCGCTCCTGGAGACGGCCAAACCATATCTGATGAACTGCATCCGACTGCCTTGCGCCCAGACGCTATTGCTATTTGGCTTCGCCATCGACACGAATGCGGGCCTCACTCAGATCGTCTGCGATAGCTGGCTGGGAATCGATCTTCCTTCACCCGGTAGCGGAATGCAGCTGCTAAGTCGCGCCATTGAGCTCCGCCGCCGATGGAGTGGTCAGCTGTATGCCAAGCTTAATGGTTAGAGCTCCTACTAGAGCTGTGGCTGTTTTTTTATTGCTTATTTCTAACGTTTAATAACTTTTTCCAGAACTAAGTGACAAGCAGGAGACGCATCTCACGGCAAACAGCGAGAGTAATGAGCTCTGGCACGATCTGCTGGACTACATGGCTCTGGATGTCGCGTACGCTGTCCGACGGCTTCTGCCTGCTGATCTGAAGCGTCTTTACACGCACCAAGCCCCCTCCGAGAGAATCAGGGACCTTACGGAAAATCCCTTTGCTCCCGGGTATGTAATGACTGCCAACGATGAGAAAGGGGGAATCAATGTCTCGGAGCACGTAGTATACGCGTGCTTGGGGGAACAGCAATGGACAATGGCAATGGACGCAGTTCTAAGAGAACAGCCATGGAAGTGTACGCACTGCGATGTTACCCAGGAGGAGTTCGACGTATTAGAGCAGTTAATCCACCGATCTCAGTGCCATGGTAGTCGCAGAAAAAGTAAAGTTTCTTCCACTCCGAATTCCGATAAAGGGCAGGATCCCGCACCCAGCAGGTCAACATCCTCGTCCTCCGACAGCTACTACTGCGAGACCTGCAAGTGCCAGCTACCAATTTCGCGGATTGAAATCCTGCGCCATAGAAGGCAATGTGTACAAATTGTGAAAAACGATGCTTCGAACTAGTTTTATTCATTTATTCATTTTTTGGAGTCAAACTATTCCAATGCCTAATCCTTACCTACAAATGGCGTGGCAAAAATATGAAACAAACTTGAATTTCGTGGCCATTATAGGAGTCGCTATGCGAAATCCTATAGCTCTATATCTTATAGTCTCTGAGATCGACTCGGCTATTGATGCTGATCAAGAATATGTATTCTTTATGGGGTCATAATTGATCCTTTCTCTATGTTACACCCATTCACACGAATAAAATATATTTTTGAACTCTATGAGTATCGGGTATAAAAAGCAATCAGATTTTTCATATAGGCAGATCAATTGTATGTCTGGTTGTACAGGGTGCGCCATCTAGACAGGACCTATTGAAATGTTTAATAACTCCGCCATTTTTCAGCCTATTTTGACAAGCCAGCCAGATTCTGAAACGTCAGCCTATGCCATTTTAGACATGGATCGACTCACAGCAAAAAATCGGGCTGAAATTGTAGCGCTGTACATCGAAAGCAATCGTTCAATTGTGAAAACTGTGCGATGCAGAGCCTGATTTTTGGGGCCGAATTTTGACGACGGACGAAGCTCATTTTTCGCTCTCTGGCGGGGTCAATAAACAACAAATTTGGGAAAGAAAAAAAAAACGGTCGAATTTGGGGAACAGAGAACCCACACATCATTCACGAAACACCATTGCACGACGTAAAAGTTACTGTTTGGGTCGGAATGTGCTCGAAAACGATTATTGGACCATTTTTTTCGAAGTTGGAGAAACCGTCGACGGTGCACGCTATCGTTGGATGTTGGCGCATTTTGTTTGTCCAGAAATGCGTAAACACGGTCTGACGAACTTCTATTTTCAACAAGACGGCGCACCTTGTCACATCACAGTTGCTACTATGAAGTTTTTGCAGAGCAAGTTCCCGGGACGCGTTGTGTCAAAAAAGGGTGATTTGGAGTGGCCTCCTCGTTCGCCGGATTTGGCGGCACCGGACTTTTTTCTGTGGGGCTACTTGAGGAGTAAGGTGTATGTCAGCAAACCGAAGACTATTGAACAACTAAAAGCTAATATCAAAGCGGAAATTGCTGCTATTACGCCCGAAATGTTGTCAAATACAATGCGAAATGCCCAAGCAGGGGCCGCTTTTTGTGTTTCTAATGAATACGGTCATTTGATCGATATTGTATTCTGAGTGAATTGTCAATAAATGGCACTCTATACCCTAAATGAATCTTGTTTATTTTCCAAAATGGGCTAAAAAATGGAGGAGTTATTCAACATTTCATTAGGTCCTGTCTAAATTGCGCACCCTGTATCTCATTCTCCTTCATGATATGCCCTCTCACTCTTTTTGGCTCCTACATATAGGCAGTATGGCAATATACGCATCCATCATAGATCATCATCACCCATCATATACGCATCCAATGATGGTTTCCGTAGGTGGAAGCTACCCACATCCCATGGTATTTAATATATAAGCGTTGACACTTTGAGAATAAAATTAGTTTATTACAATAAAATAAACAATTAATTCAGTCTCAGGATAGGATACAGGTAATCAACCGTCCGATGTGGTAACTCCATGTTTCACAAATCTGTAACACAACGATTTTTTTCATATATTCGCATTAATGCCTTTTTAAATGTAGTTGTGGTGGAAAGTGAGTCTGGGTTGCTATCGGGCGCATACATTTGGAAAAATAAAGGTCTGTCAAACTTAAACAATCTCGAGCATTTTTATGTGAATGATACTGACTAAATTTAATGCAATGCCTAGATTACAGTTACTTGTTCAAAAATTTAAATTAATGGAAACAGTTGTCCTTAAATTTAGGGCATCGCCTTTAGGTCCATTTTAATGCATTATGTACTCCAAGTCAAACTTGGCTCCAATGCGAGGGACCTTCTGTTTCCTTGGCTTAATTGCCTAAAATGAAATGACGTTCAAATCAAAACATTGTAACCACAAAACTCAAATAACGTACCTGGTTTGGCGTCAATACAGCCCCTTCGTCGGTGGCGGCACTTGGGACGGCGCTGGTGTTCAACTGAGATGTCGAGGACTGCTGGAAACAAAAGGGTGACGGCTGTTTCTTAAATTGGCTTGCGACAGTACTCACCGGAATATTCAGTGTCTGCATCAAATCGGCAGCAGTATTTTCGTTTCTTGATGTATCTTGATGACTAGAACCTGCGCCTATCTCTACTTTGTCCACGCCCACTTTTGGCTGCTGCAAGATATAAGGCATTGAATTGTAATAAAATTATTATTAATTAATTTAATTAAGAGATTAAGAGATTTAATATTTAACAGCTTCAAAGTAGTTTCGAAGTCGGATTCTTCCAATTTACAAGAGGCATTTACAAGAAGTTACAAGTCTCAATGGACGGCGGTTCTTGAAGACAACCAACCAACTCTTTACTAAGCTTTGGCATATGCATACATTAAATTATACCCGGTACATTTTCACACAGGTGCGGGTGCCTAGGAAATGTCAGGGGCATAGAACATTTCACTGCCCGAGCTCTGCTGCTCACACACAGTAAAAAATGTATGAAACGTTATGCTCTCAGCTTAGTTTCTGATATTGGTTGCTAATAATAATGCATTCAAATTATATCAATGTATTAAGTGCCGACCACTGCTTTAAAAGTTAGTTAAAGTGTGGTTGGAAGAGTACCGGGTATTATCCACGCAGTGGAGGATACATCTCTGACCCTATAAAGTACATATATTCTTTATCAGGATCTTCTTCTGAATCTGTGTCTGTTTCTACGCAAATTAGTTAAATAATAAATTCTCTTACCGATTCAGCCTCTGGTCGCTTTGAGGACTGGGAGCGCGACGATTGTTTGGGACGGTACGCCTGAATGGGAACAAAGTCTTGAATAGAGGTGTACCGAGGTGCCACGTTGCTTATCTCGTGAAGCTGCGTGAAATTCTGCAGCGGCTGCTGACAATGCGAATACTGCTGGTAGTTTCGGGGATGTTGACCGTGAGGCTGCCGCATATTATTGTTGAAGACACTTGGTGCCACAAATTTGTTACACTGTAGTTGGTTTCCGTTGTTAAAGCCCATCGGCAGACCACTGGGGGATTGAATTGGCATCCGTAGCGGCTGCGACTGCAGGGGCTGTATAATGCCGTTGACAAGCTGAGCTGAGTCCTGATCAATTGGCTGACACCTTCGATACCACTTTTGGCTTTGGATGCGTTCCACCTCCTGCGACTGCTGCTTTTGGGCTTCTTGCTGCCAAAAAAGCGGCGGCTTCGGCAAATTCTTAAATGAAAGAGGATAAGGACAAGGATATTACATAAACCTATTTTCTACTTAAAAGACTCACTGGCATGTCTCCTGGCAGTGGGGCTTTTGGCAGTGCTTGCGGCAGTGGAGCTTGGGGCAGTGGAGCAGGGTGATGAGGTTGGCTCAGCAACGTATCCGAGCTCTGTTTTACGCCCAGTATCGACATAAGTGCCAAGGTCTGCGCCTGCGGCGTTGTGTTTGTGGTAGGTTCAACCACAGCCACTTCGGTATGGCCTTTGCCGGCACCACCAGAGCTGCCGCCTTGCTGTCTTTGGTTCTGACGCCAGGACGAAGACTTTTGCTTTCCCTGCGATTTGTTTTGCTGGTTATTGACACGCTGCCTCCAGTTGGAGTGCTGCTCCGTACCCTCTATATGCTGCTTGGCCGACTGGTCTTGGGAAAGCTGCCTCCAGGTGCCTTCCTGCTTCGCCGTCTCTGTCTGCGACTTGTTCGACTTGGACTTGGCTTTTGAATCCCCCTGAGGACGAAGAAATTCTTCAGCCACCTTCGTTTTCATCGTGATTGGATTGAAATCCGTCCCTGCGGCCGTCGCATAGCGACTGCAGCTCGCTGACTGCTGGTCCCGTTTCTCAATGCGGACATTTTCCGCTTGGGCTCTACCTTGTAGGGACGTTTGTTCGCTAGCCTGGTGTTTTTGTCCCTGGTCATTTGTGTAGATGACGACCAGGGCGCTTTCCGGCACCTTGTAGACCCGGTCAACTGCAATGCCGTGAATGTCATTGAAGTTAGGCACTGCCTTGTCAAACAGTACATCACAGAAGGTATCAACCGTGCGGACGCACTCAAGGCGCACCGGATTCGGATCGCTAATGGGGTGCACGCCAATCACAGTGCCCTTTATACCGACTGGCACCATGTAGATTGTGCGGACAACGATTACTCGGTCGAATAGGCGTACCGGTCGACGAGAGCGGTAAACGTCGGGCAAAGTGACGTTTGGTTTTATGAGCAGATGCGGCTTGACTTGCAACTTGACATCCTTGATCGGTAGCGAGCGTAAGTCGTCTACAGCGGTTAATAGGAGCTCGACTGTCTCTCGGCAGACGGTCTTGGAGCCACAACCAACGCGCTCCACCTTCATATGCGGCTGTTGGCGCACCCAGCTGGCCAACACTTCTATGTTCCCCTGACCCACGGTATCAGGATAGATGTCCTGCTCAAATACGAACTCGCTGCGCTCGTTACTGGAGCCGAAAAAATCGACCACATCTGGAAAACGGTCGCAGTATTCGCGCATTACCTCCAGAGCCAAATTAGAGTAGAACCACTGGTTGCCCGAGCGGCAGCAATACCCGGCACGTTCCTCATTCTGCCGCGGGTATTTCAGCTGCAGACCAATATTGTGCTTGGCTACGTTTTCCATTTTTTCGCGCCGCGGTCCCAACACCACCCACATGGAGCCTGTAAGTCGACCCAGCGCCCGGGTATTTATGTTCAGCTGGCGACAGATCTCGAACGAGTTCATGAAGTCCCGGTCGCGTTCCTCTTGCATTAGACGCGCCGCCATTAGGTCTGGCTCTGGTCGTACTCGTATGTTGACTGTGGGAAAGGGAAAGCACAATTAAAAAACAAATCTTTTATCAAAAGCTCAGTGGGTTTTCCCGCATTTGTTATGATTGAAAGCAATATCCCAACAAACATGAAAGGAAAGCTAACTTCTGGCGGAGCCGAAGTTGATATACCCTTGCAGTTAAAACCGGATATATATCGCAAATATCGGATATAGTTGGCCGATCCTAATGATTCCACATAAAAAAACCAATAAATTACAATAAAAAATCTGAAAAAAGTCCCAAGCTCCTTTCTTCAAAAATACGAAAGTTGATATTTCTACCAAATACCATTTCCGATCGTTCAGTTATATGGCAGCTATAGGATATAGTCGGCCGATTCTAATGAAATTTAGTAGGTTGGATTAACTGACCAAAAATAGAATATGTACTAAGTTTCAGCTTTCTATCTTCAAAAACACGAAAGTTGGGTCATATTCGATCCTTCAGTTATAAGGCAGCTATAAGATATAGTCGGCCGATCCTTATGAAATTTGGCATGTCGTATTATTTTGCCAAAAGTAGCACTCATGTAAAATTTGAATTCTCGTACTCTAAAAACACTAAAGTTATACCATTTCCGATCAATCAGTTATATGGCAGCTATAGGATATAGTCGGCCGTTCCGACTTATGTACTGCGTGCAAAGGAAAGAAGGGTGTGTGCAAAGTTTCAAGACAATAGCTTTAAAACTGAGAGACTAGTTCGCGTAGAAACGGACAGACAGACAGACGGACAGACGGACATGCTCATATCAACTCAGGAAGTGATCCTGATCAAGAATGTATATACTTTATAGGGTCGGAGATGTCTCCTTCACTGGGTTGCACACTTTTGGAAAAAATTATAATACCCTCTGCAAGGGTATAAAAACAAGAAAGGAAAGCTAACTTCGGGCGGAGCCGATGTTGATATACCCTTGCAGTTAAAACCGGATATATATCGCAAACATCGGATATAGTTGGCTGATCCTTATGAGAATATGATAATATAACCCAATTTATTATAATAAAAAATTTAAAACAAGTCCCAAACTTCTATCTTCAAAAATACCAAAGTTGGTATTTCTACCAAAAACCATTTCCGATAGTTCAGTTATATGGCAATATATGGTATAGGATAGGATGTAAGATATAGTCGGCCGATCCGAGCCGTTCCGACTTATATACTACGTGCAGAGGAAAGAAGGGTGTGTGCAAAATTTCAAGTCGATAGCTTTAAAAATGAGAGACCAGTTTGCGTAGAAACAGACATACGGACATGCTTATATGAACTCAGGAGGTGATCTTGATCAAGAATATAGTTACTTTATAGGGTTGGAGATGTCTCCTTCACTGCGTTGCACACTTTTGACCAAAATTATAATACCCTTTGCAAGGGTATAATAAAAATTTTCCAATCGTAGAAGACGTTAATTTATAGGTCTTTAACTCTCAAACTTTGGTTATCAGTTTATAGGCAAACTTACCCTGGATACGGCCGCAATTGTAAACGAGCATCGGATCCAAAACGGTGCCCTCGCTTCCGTAGTACGGGTTGCCGATGAAGAATATCGGACAGCCAACAGGAAACAGTTCCTCCATGTTTCGGAACTGCTGGCGCATGTTCTCCTTTACAATGAGATCGGCCACCACACCATGAGCGGGGTAGCCTGTGACTGAGCTGCTCCATGCATCCCGCATAAAGATCTCTCCCTTGGGACCAAACTCCACGGAGCTTCCGGCGTAGGTGCGTACGTACACCAGCACTTCGTAGCTCGAGAACTGTATGCCCATTCGCGTTGTAAAGCTGAGATAGAAAGAAACAGATGATGAAACTGGCACGGGAAGCCTCTTATAGCACTTACTGCTCCTGCAGACTCTTGCATTCCGATTCAAAGCGTCGCGCGTCGTTTACGGTAATACCTTCGTTGTCCACTTTCTGGTCCCGCGTCGCTACGCGTACAACCTTGGCCTTGGTAAGATGTGGCCATCCTATGTGCACCACTTGTTCCAGAAACTTTCCAGCCACCGCATCCAGGGTGTCGGCCAGAGGCCCTTTCAGCGGCTTTAGCACCATATTCTGGTTGCGACTGACCTGCTCAAAGACCTTAACGCGATCGTTGCGAATTTCAAACTGTGAGAGAAGCACAGAGAAGGCGTAAAACGTTTTTTTTCCATGCCAATTGGCAAGAACTCACTTCGAATGGCAAATGCTGCATTGTAGGAAAGCCCGGGTAAAAGACATGGCGTGCCGCGTTGGGCAACTCCACGCACACACTGTGCGGCAAGTTGAGAGCGATCTCACGTGCCCACCTGGACACTTCCGTGCAGTACAAGTGCGTCAGCCCCCGAAGTGGAGGAAGGGGTGCGAGGGGTCCCTGCGAGATCGCGATGTAGTCGTACTGATACATCGGTCCGTGGCGGTTTCGCTCCTTCTCCGCCTCCGAAAGACGCGGCTCGCACGGCTTCATGGCGTTTAGCAGACGCTGCTCGTCGATGAACGGGATCAGCACAACCGCCTCCCAGTCGTGTTTCTTCCCATTGAGGTCACTCTCAAAGTCCACCGGGAAAAACTCGGCCAGAGGACTGTTCGGATTTAGCATCAGGTCGTGGTAGGCTGTAGGCATTAATTTATAGCTCGCAGACGGAAGTACCGCGAGAAGCTGAGAAGTGGAGAATGCAGAAAATTTAGAAAAGGATAGAGTCCAATCTGCAAGGTGTTATGTGGATGTACCCATCCATAAGATAGAATTTTTAAAACTCAGTCTTACAAACTTAGGGTTTATGTTTTAACCGACACTCTTTGAATCCATTGTCGTAAAATATATCACAAAAGTGATTTATATGGGGCAGGTAGGTAAATGGAGGTAAATGGGGCTTTTTTTTAAGTTTTAAACAAGACCAATGTGCTAAGCTTTTATCTGCGGAATCATAAAAGACTTAAAAGATACGAAACTCTGCAATTGTATTGCAACTTAAAACAACTGAATACCATCATTTAAAAAGATGAATGACAGATTATAAAAACGAAAAAGCGTCGAAAAAAAATTACATTTAACTATCATAACTTATAATAAGCTTCTTATAAGCTCTAAAGCAAATAACTCAGCATTATGCTGATACCAAATTGGTGAAACTGTTGTTTATTTTGTTGTAAAATCAGTTGTTAAATTATATTTCATATGGATAAAAAAGATTTTAAATAGAGATATTTATAAATAAATAAATATTTTCCATTCATTCCATTCCAAATTTTGATCATACAGGATTTTCATTCTCTTTATATGTAAAATTCTATTCTTTAATAGGACGTTTTAATATTCCATTCGGCGGAGTCACTATTACAGCGATGAAGATATTCCGCCGTATCTTCGCGAGAAAAAAGCAACATAGTTTGCTCAATATTATTTGTTCGTAAAATTTATAATCGTAGTATTTGAAGTGAAATTAAGTCTTGATTAAGTCTATAACCTAAATTGCCTTTCCCCAAACAACATTTTTAGAATCGGTGGCACCTTTAAAAGGCTTTGATTAGTTCCTAAATTACCTATTACTCTTGCAACGCATTTTTTACTATTCATATATATTTTTGTATAAAACACAAAATCCTTCGATATGATTTTGTTTTTTGTGTGAAATTTTTATCTATATATTATTTCTTTAGTAGGAAATTAAGTACCATATAAAAATAGCTTTTACATCAAACTCTTACATGCCAATGCATGTACCTAGCCCCAATATTCTGCATGGATGCACCTTACCTGCTGAAACGGGAAGAAGGGCTCGCCCAGTTGAAAGTTGACTTTGACCTTATCGACATTACGAATGTCGCTGATGAATGGCGCATAATGGAAGGGATAGTACCAATCCCAGGACTGTACGCCGCGGTAGTAGTAGTCCAGGATCCACTGCAGCGCAGTAACGTAGTGGAAGCTGAGCTCTTCGATTAGTTGTTCTGGTGAATTGCTGTTGAACTTGGTGCAGTAGTAGTTTCGCTTGTAGTTCTTGAACTCGTACATCAGGCTAGCTTCCTCGTCATTCAAGTCCTCATCACTGTCACCCTCGTAGAGCTGCAAACAGTTAAAAAATCAGAGATGAGTGGACACATATGCACTGGGAGGCCGTTACCTACCTTCATGCTATTGTCAATCAGAGCTGCCAGGTCGGAGTCGTAACTCTCGGTGCCTGTTATTTCCGACACGTCGACGTCGAAAGCCTCCGTCTTGGCATTCATGTACTTAAGATCGTCGGCGTGCTCCCTAAACTGATCCAACTCGACCTCGCTGAGAGCTGTCAAAAAGACTTGCAAGCGGTGCAAGTTAAGCTTTCCATTCTCGTTGATGTTGCCACCCAGCTTCGGATAGATTTTAATATAGGTGCTGTATAGAAGGGGCAGTGCGTTGGAGGAAATGTGCAAGCAGGGCAGATGGGGGATAAAATCGTTTCCGACCATGAAGCCCATCAGCACCCAATCATCGATAAGCTGTGCCACATCCAGCTTGTGCGTATCTGTATTGAGATCGTCAAACTCCAGTTCGAGATATTCCCGCAGCAGTCCGAGATGAAGCAAAAAGAACCGCGTTTCTTCAACGGACGTGCGCTTCACATTCCGACCGAACTTAACCTCCTCCCGGAGCACAACAAAATGCAGTTCATGGGTGCAGAGCCCTAGTATGATTAAATCAGCATCCAGCCCATACAGGCAGTGACGCGTATTGGGATCAAAGCCGGGCTGAGCTTTCATGAACCGAATATAGTCCATGATCTTGTGTTCACCTTCGCCAGGTGTTTCCTGGCCGCTGAGGATCACGGTGCAGCGCTGCCATAGCGGATCCGTCGAGATCTTTGTTTGCAGGAAGGCGCGCAACCTTACCTGCAAGCGCTGCATGAACTCCGTGCCCGGCGTGATGCAATTGCTATCAAAGCGTTCGTGTTCACGGCGTTCGCCCCTCTGCAATGCCTTCGACTCCATTTGCTCCGCCTCGCGCGACGATCGAAATCGACGACTACGCTGCTGATTCATCTTGGCACGCGGTGCCACCCCGTCGACAGCCAGAAAGAAGAGACGCTGCGGCTTAATCAGGTAGAACAACTTGTCCACATAGTTGAAAATGTCCTGAAAAATTTGTGCCTCCTCCAAGTGGAAGTGGATGTTATTGTCATCTGGATGTGAGCAATTGTGCACGATTCCGTTCATGTCTAGGTAAAGATTATCGAACTCGGGGATCTGAGATCCAGTTCGGGCATAAATAAAAAATGGTTAGATGATCATGACTCTTAGTTTATCTTGAACGACTTACGCTGTGCTCCCGCGCCAGCTCACTGAGGCAGGGGTACCGCTCGCTGATATATCTGAAGAACTTCGGGACTCCCATTTCGCTGTTTGTTGGCTTTCGCTCTGATTAGGATTGGCAGCCTTATGTTCTGTGCAGAATAGCTTGTTTCGGGAATAGCACAGCACGACGCGTCCTTGGGCCACAGAAAATTTGTAAAGTAGCTGCCAGGGTTGCACTTCACAGGTTAGCTGTTGCCCTGGCAGTTCCATCGATACATTAACATATCGACCAGGGCTAGTGATTTTCCAAAAAATAATTCTCCAGTTTTTTATAAGGTATAATTCATAGCAAAAATGTTTGAGAAATACCAGTGAACCAGTTTAAAAGTCCATACTCGAGCCTCAGCGTCTATGCTGCATTCATTCGGTCGAGGCTGGAATATGCCTCAATCATTTGGAACCCGGAGTGTAAAGTTCGTTCCAATAGAATTGAGCGACTCCAGAAAAAATTTTTAAAATTTGCACTTCTGCCTCTAAGATTTCAGGATCCTGTTCCTTCATACCAGAGCCGTTGCCTTCTTCTGAACGTTTGCACGTTGGAGGATCGGCGTAAACTGGCAGCGTTAACCTTTTTAAATAATTTAATCGTTAATAACATTGATTGTCCTTTTTTGTTGGGACTCGTTAATTTTAATGTTCCTCAAAGGGATCTTCGTACCTTTGCCCCCTTTCGGGTCAAATGTCATAGGGCCAATTATTTCTTAAATGAGCCGATAGAGCGGGCTCTTTCTTATTTTAATTCTTTGCCGCCTAGCCTCCGAACTGAGTGGGGCTCAGATAAGGGTGTGTTAAAACACAAGTTATTAAGGCATTTATTAAGTTTTTGTTAATTTTGTAGTTTTATTTATTAGGTGTAAGTTGTTATGTTATGTAGCCATGTAAGGATTTGTCCATTGGCGAAATAAATAAATAAATAAATAAATAAATAAATAAAAGGTATCTTTTGTGAATTTAATTTTTTACAGGTACACGATATTTAAATATGAAGCCAACTCCACAGTAGTAACCTAAGAGAGCGTTGGTCACACTGAATCAAGCTCACAGCTGTTTTCACTACAACAAAACTTCGTGAACGCTTGTTCCAAATTTTACGTAATTCGTATTTGGAAGCCGATTCGACGAGCAGTTAGTCAATCCTCCAGCGAAATGTCGCTCATCCGCCAAGTGATGTGGAGAAGGGCATCTCCTCTGCAACTGTAAGTAGCCACAGCCCGCTCCATAGGCCATGCCCACATAAATTGTTTTGCCGTCCCGATGACCGTCTAGGTACCAGGCAAATAAACTAGCATCGACTCGCTGGGCTTCCCAAGATGTGGCTCCATTGGACCCTAAGACAGCACTTGCTCGCCCTGAGGAGCTGGAGCAGCGTAACAAGCTGAGCGGCAAGATTACTGTGCCAACGGCTGTAAATCTTAGCCCGATCTCCGGCGTACCGGAGGAGCAGATAAAGGAGCGGCGAGTGCGCATTCACATCCCACCGAAGAACGCCATGCAGAGCGGCACTGACAACATCAATACCTGGCAGATTGAGTTTGACAATCGCGACCGCTGGGAGAACCCTCTTATGGGCTGGGCCTCGACGTGAGTACTGTGTATGAAAGCCAATCTTGATTTAATCCATGTCCTTCTGGCAGCGGCGACCCACTGTCAAATCTGAACGTGCAGTTCGGCTCCCAGGAAGAGGCCATCACATACTGCGAGCGCAACGGTTGGCGTTGGTATGTCGATGGCGCCGAGCAGAAGCCGAAGAAGGACCGTGTCAAGAACTACGGAATCAATTTCTCCTGGAACAAGCGCACGCGCGTTTCCACCAAGTAAAAAAGAATGCATAGTATAGTGCAATTTATTTTTGTTCATTACCAAGAAACCTAAGCTAATAAACGGTAAAGTTCTATCAGATATGGATTAGAATAAACGCAGAATTTCCATTTTGACTGGATTTAACTACGCTCTCTCGCACGATGCCTCCGTCTGTGGTACGGAGAACGGGACCTTGACCTATGTATCGTTTTACTTTTTCGATCCCTCCTATCGGACCTTTCATGGTTTTTTCTTTCTTGATTGTGGCTCTTTTTCCCTGTGGAATTTTTTTCAGTCGGCTTCACACATTGCCTTTCCAGAGCTTGCATCTGAAGTTTGACCAGCTGATGAAGCTCCTCGTTAAGTGTCGGCTTGCTTTTGCGATAGCGCCGTTGCTTCATCTGCTCCCGCTTGGTTCCAGCCACCAATTCGCTGAATGCAGCATTGTCCTGGAATCCTTGATGCCGTGCTGTGTGCTCTATCACGTGCTTGTAGATCAGAAGCCGTTGTTTGGGATCAAGTTCGGCCTGAATACTATCAAAAGTGGATGTGCATGGAACGTCTTTTTCTAAAATTTGCCTTATATCATTGGCATTTAGTTGGAGAGTAAAGGCTAGATGGGTAAAACATGAGACCGGCAGTTGGTCTGCGTGCTCGACTGGTTTCGTATCGGTTTTGTGAACCCGGCGCACTGCCTCCTGAGTCCAACTCATACGCCCCAAGACGCTGTGCAGACGCTTGCGGCTTGTAGCCACGAAGCGTCGTAGCTCTTCTTGCACAGCTTCCGTTGCCATCGCACCAATCACACAAAAAAAATAAACAGCAATGTGAAGTGTTGCGAAAGACGAGAATGCCAGTGCTGCAGAACGCAGAGTATATTTACAATTCTTACATGTCAGATAGGCTCAAACGAACCAGAAATTATAGGGGATGTTGGGTGCCATGAACCTATGCGGCCTCAGCTCCAGAAGAGCACGGTAAAAGCCATAATCAGACATGACGCCGCTACCCAAGGAGATTTACGTTCCCCTATTCGAGCCAGCTTCCAGAAGATTCCCAGCAATCTAGAAAATAGTTAAATAAACGATAAAATTGGGAAAGATTACCTTCTTGTAGTGGCACCCACCCGGTTTTGTTGCGGTCAATGATGCTAGGAAACAGCGAGCGCAAGTAGGCGCAAGTGCAGATCAGCAAGAGAATTACCGACAAAAGGCTCTGAAAGTTGAACAGGGCACTCTGAAAGAAAATTACTTTTAAGTCTCTAGCAACAAAAATTACCTATTCCTTCGTCCAAACCATTTTTAGCGATCCGTTTGTGCAAGAAAATTGGAAATATGTTTATGTTAAAAGAAACTAGTGACGTGCCACAACGGATCCACTTCAGTGATGCCAACCTAGCCCGCTAGGTTCCCGCTAATTTTCCCGTCAAATTTAGCTTATTTTTCGTAACAATTTAAACAAATATTATTGGCCATAGCCAATTATTTCTGAATCTAAATTACTGTGTCATAATTGAGTTTGTTCCGAAAAAAGCGCTATATGCGCTATCCTTCTATATATTGGATCAAGGGTTTGGATTTGGCTACAAAACAAATGAAGTTTAACCAAATGGGAAATAATTATTCGATTAACTAAATGTAAATTACATGTATTACATATAGCACATTAGCGTATTAGATTTCGTTTTTAAATAATAACAGATTTTTATTTTCCTTGTGTCAAAGGGATGGAGATTGATTGTAACATTTCAATTAATTTGCCAAGTCTACATATGTTTCAACTTTAAAGTGCACATCTATAAAATTTAGACGCGGCGGTGTTGCCAGAATGTTAGTCAAAGGCATCGCCTTGCGCTGAAATATGATTTGCAGCGCCATCTGTTGGGGTAACACGAAAGTTTGTTTTGTGTAAAAACCTTGAATCTGGCTATTTTTGTGTAAAATTCTATAACCTAGATATTTACATGTACAAACTTATATCTTGTTATTTCAAACTTTTATCACCATAAAAGCAAGACGTGCAACAAAAACTATCTGTTATTTTTCGAAATAAAGTCTTTAAATTAAATATTCTTGGTATTTTATTTAATTTCGTAGCTTATATAGATACAAGTTAGTTGACCAACCTATATTACCTCAATGTACCGTAGTAATTGGCCCAGCTAAGTAAAAAAATATAAAGAGATTAAAAACATTAAATCAAAAATTTTACATTTGTAGTATATTTTTGGTAAAATAGGATTTCTACCTAATTTTTATGGTTTTTTTTATCGATATTTTTAGCATAAGAAGCATTAGCATAATTCATATTAGAATGCTTCGAAATAGGGATAATAGACTTCGAAAATAGGGACCAAAAGTTTAGCTTCACAGGAATTAAAAGGAATTATAAAATAATACTCTTTTAAAACTTATTCGACCTTTTACTGAAATAAAAAAATCATTTTTTTCCAAAACCTTTATTACTAATCGTTCGATTAGGATTAGTTAGTATAACTTACTATTATTAATAAATATATTAAAATTATCGATATTTTGAGGGGATTTGAAGATTGTAAAGAACATATACCATTGTGGTTTACAATAAATCCTCATGTGGTGTTTTTTGGTCAATTTTTTTAATATGATATTTTGTTTAAAATATCATTTTTAATGTATCCTAATACACATATATTTAAGAAATAAACCATTTTAGCTATCCAAATTTGATTTTTTATTATAACATAGTAGTAACATTCCGGCTCCACCATAAGTCTAAAGGCGAACTAGGTGATTAACATAATTGTATCCTGCCAGATTTAGCAAGTTAGCAACACGTTAATATAGCCAAGTTGGCAGCACTGGTAGCGATAGTGTGGCTGTCAACTAACAGTCCACCGCTGACGGTCTTACCGAAGTTTCGCCACTCTACATTTGTCTTCTAATTCGCTGCTGGTTTTTTTTTTTGTATTTGTCATTACACATAATCCAATCATCAGTGCTAAGGAGAATAAATCCTTTTATTGCACGGTTAAAGTTTAACCAAAACCCAAAACGGGCAAACGAAGGCCAAGTGCCTGAAAATTGCGTCAAATAAGACTTTTCTTTTCTACGCCTGTGTTCGTCTTGCTCTTGCGCTGCGCCGCGTTCGTTTTCCGTCTCGGCTTCAAATTTAAATTGCAATTCCTCCTGTGGTGGTGGCCGCCAGGAGTGCGGCCCAGGGGACGGCGATGACTGGATGACTGGACAACTGGAGGGACTGCAACTGCAAGAACGGCTGCGGGCGGGAAGGTGAGCTCCCCACCAACCGACCAAGTGCATCCTCGTCCCCGCGTCTGCGCGTGTCTGTGTGTGTCTGTGTTTTTGGGATGCAGTTGTAGCGAAGAGCGCCCATCAGAATCAAAAGTATATATAGATATATTTGTGTATATAATAATCGGATACGTCTTCTCGTTCCGCGTGGTTGTGTGAGTGTATTTAAATCGGTAATATCACAACAGCAACAGACGCACACGAACGGGCCGTTTGTTGGTGCCAGAGTTTTTTTGGCCGCGCGCCCTAAGTGCGCGTGTGTGCGTGTGGCTTCTGGCTTGTGGTGTGTGTCACGAGAGAGCGAGAAAGTGGCAACAGCAGCAACTGAAACAACGAGGGAATAGAAACTGCAGCACCAACTACAAAAAAAATGTCAATTTAGGAACTCCAAGTGGCTGGACTGCTGAAGCGGTAAGTGGTGGGGACGGATTCGGGATGCAGTGGGTTAAGCTAAGCGCGAACCACACATTGGTGTACGTGTGGGAACGCACACTAGTGCACCGTGCACTGGTGTGCTCTGCGTTTACAGCTCTGTTAGCCGTTAACAGCACAGCAACGGCCAGTGTCTTGGGCCTTTGCCACAAGGCATTTTGGGCGTATTTGTCAATGGAGCTGGGCTCAGTTCGTTGATGCCGAAAGTAAATATGTAACTGTGAAGTGTGGAGCCAGTTTGGGGCAAAGTGTCAAAACAGTGTTCGACGAGCTGTATTTCGTTTTGTGGTGCCGCTGCTGCGCTCTCTCTTCTGTAGCTGCTGTCTCTCGCCGAGTCGATTTTCTCGGCAGAAGCGATATTCGCCAAAAGCATTGGCCAACCCCCAAACACCAGCTGAGCACAGACGAAATCCGTCAGGCGGTAGCGCACAAGGTGAACTTGCGAAGGATAAGACAATTGCTGGAATTGAGGAACAACGGCTGGAGAAAATAAAACAGTGCCCTTTCGTCGCCACGGAGCAGTGCAGGTGCGAAGAGCGGGACAGCAGCTACGTGCTTTAAGAGAACTTTAGCTCGAACGGAAGGTGAGTTGCATTTTATTGTGTTCTTTTTCCATGCTTTCTATGACACGCGCATACCCTACACTCACCCACACACAGCTAGACCTCGCACACAAGCACAGAACAGGCCACCAATACCAGCAAGCTCTTTTATTTTTGTTTTTACTCTGACGTTTTTCGACGTTCTGTACTCGGCGAGTGCATTTCTGTTATCGGATTGGATTGCCTTGTTTTGTTATTTGCTCCCTCTGAACCGTGTGCTTTTCCGTCTCGTCCGGTATGCGCGGGCTTTTTGTTTTTGGTTTTCTCACTGTACGCTCCTAAATGAACAATACATGCGGAGTTGTCCATCTCTACGTGGTTCTTTCTGCTCTTCTGTCTCTTTCTCCCTGACAGCTGGCGTTGGGGGTACGGTGGGCTACACAAACACACCGAGAGAGGCCGCCATTGTTGTTTGGCAGTGTTGCATTTTGCCGCTTAATGTTTCGTTCTGCCTGCGGGAGCTTTTCTCGTATTTGTTTTGTGCATCTTATTCGCTGTAGGGCTGTCAGATTCTCGTTTTTTAAAGGAACTATCGAAACTGCTTTAATCGAAATAGAAATGGAAACTCGAATCTTGAAAAATTGTAAGGTGAATAATAATAATTGAATAATGTCAGAAAATACCAAGCATTAAATAATAAAAAGATAAAAATAAAAAATATTTCAAAATAAATATAAAAACCAATAAATAAAATTGTAAAAATAAAAATGTAAAAGTAAAATTTACAATTTAGCTAAGACAGTCGAATTCGGGCCATGAAGACTCAAATTTAGGAAGTAAAAAGCTCATCTTGATATTTTTAGTGTGACCGATACCTCCATTTTTCTCCATTTAGTTAAAAACAGATATAAAATATAAATATTTGGATACTCATTGGCATAAAAATTGTATAAGGTTCTTGATTAGCCTTATTATCGGTTTAAAACTTTCTCTCTATTGTGCGGTTTTTTAATATGAAATTTATCAAAGGTAACTTTGTCCAAAGAATAATGTTTTATTAACAACTAAAGGGTTATATGCAGTTAGGATTTTCAAAAAAACCAAAAAAATTTGTTTTTATTTTATTCTTATCTACATATGAACATGAACATGTACATATTCCTATATGTAACTCAATTCGATAAATATTTTCGAAGCTATACATCAATTTTTGTGGTCATTTCAATTCTTCTCGCAGCTCTCACTCCGCCATCTTCTTGCTTTGCTCATCGTTTCTCGCATTTCTTCGCTTCGCTTCTCGCGCGCACTCTGACATCAGCCTAAGAAATTTTTCGCGCGACAAAGAGTTAGGGATAGCCAAGTGGTAGAGTGCTTGGCTGGTGTTCAGAGGGAAACGAGTTCAAATCGGGCTCGAGAAATCCTCATTTTTATGTTTTTTTATTTTATTTATATTATATGTTAATTGTTTGAAATTTTTTTTTCAAAATTTATAATCCTTTCAAGAAAAACAAAAAATATACAAATCACCTTAACTTCGGCTCAGTTCGTAGTGGAAACCGCTGTAGAAATCTCTATGAATGGGGGTTCCACGGAGAATTATATTGTTGAAACGCACTATCTTTGGAACATTGGAATAATAACCCATAATGGACCCAATAGAAAAGAGATCATACATATCGCCTTCTATATTTACTCCTCAACTCCATGATTTTCTACTGTTACTGTGATATCACTTTAAGTTAAAATGTTCAGGAATAGCGAAGTGGTGAAGCATTCGGCTGGCGCCAAGTAGGCCCACATTAAAATTCGGCTAGGATCCTTCTCTACCGTCAAGTTTTTTTAATTTTTATTTTCATAAAAAATAAAAAAAAGGAAAAATCTTCCGCAGATCCGTAAATTTTACAGGATCGACATGCTTTTATAAGCTTAAAAGTAGTTGATAGCTAAGTTAATAATTGTCTTGGAAGCGTTTTAGGTCTCTTCGTAAGAAAATTTAAAAAATGCGGTTTCGGTCTTGTTTTTCGATCACGGAGCTGCGTATAACTCCTTAACAAGCTCCTCTGCAGTGTTGCCTATTACTTCGGAAGAATAGCTGTTTTTGACAGGACAAAGGTTGAAAAAAAGTTTGTTTACAAAAATATAAAAAAAAAACGTCACCGATTTTTATACATATTTTAAAATAAAAAAAAGAAGTCAACTTTGGAAAAAGATAAAAATATATTTTATTTATTTATATTTTAAAATATATTCGATAAATTATATTCGAGTTATATGATAGGGCTAAATGGTGCACATAGGGAACTTTCCAGTCATCTCGACATTTTTTGCGCAACCCAGTGACTTAAGTGACTGGTGAACTTGTTTGCAAGCATTTATGGTGTTTGTGCTACTTAAGGAATTTTTTCTACAGCACATAGTATCATGTCCGTAGTACAATTGCAATAAAAATTTTTCGCTCGCAGTAATTATAATTGGTAACATACAATTATATGCATATGTGCTTGAGTACAAAAACAACAAGCCGAATCGGAAACCCATTAACCCATTGGGAAGGGCCACGTCACCGTAGTCGCTGAGATCCTAAAACTGCAACTGTCTACCTTATTAAATAAAACATACTACATATGCCAGCTACGAAAGCTGGCAGATCTGTACATTTTAACGGATGTGCAGTAGTGCAGTAGTGGCATGTTTCTGTTGCTCCGTTTTCCTTTATTTTTTACTCGTAAATACTAAAATAGTTTCGGAGTTTTACCTTTTTTTTTTTTAATTTCACCCGGAGGTGCAACCCCTGTTCTTTCTGCTAGTCCTAGAGCGGGAGTGGCTGAGGCATGCGTCGCCAGCGGACAACCAGCAACACCTATTTCCAAGGCTGTTCCATGTTTAGGTCGCTTGTTTGTTGACTTTCGGGCTGTTTCCTTTTCAGTGGAATTAGTATAACTTTTGGTTGTCTTATAGCTGCCTCTTAACTGCTAAATATGAGCTGACATGGGTGCCAGAGCCTCAGTTGTTAATGGAAGTTGGGTCCCATATCGTAAGATTTTATCTCGGTATATTATATATCCTAGCACTTAACAATTAAAGTTATTCAGGCATTACTTGGGTTCAGGTTGGACTATTAGCTAGGATTAGCTGAAAATCCCACCAGATGTTGAGTGGCTGTCCTTGAGGAGTTCTAATCTACTCAGGGGTATTGCAATTTAAACTGATATTAATCGAAAATACCCGGTTTATTTGTGGAAATAATCGAGATAAAATTGGTAATCGTTCTGTTAGCAAACCCACGTTATCGGCTCTTAACAGAGATATACACAGAGTTCGTTTTTATAACCTGAAAACTATATATTTGTGCAGACTCGGGCCGGTACTTAAAAGCCAATGCGGCCCTGCAGCCCTTATTCGTAGGCCCTATTTTTTAAAGGGGGTCCATGGCCGAACGTCCTTAATTTTTGATCTAAAACAAAAAATCAAGTTTGGTTAGTTTCTGTACATCAACGGCTATCGACACACGTAGGATTTTTTCTATATATTGATTTTTTCCAAAATGGTGAGTGATTGAACAAAACTTTCAATTTTCACGAACTAAAAACGTCACAAAATTGTTGATAAAAAAAAGGGAGCAATATAAAAATCCTACGTGTGTCGATAGACATAGGTATTCTGAGTATACTGTCAAAATTTTAGATCGATAGGCTAAGAGTTGTTCGAGTTATGTGTTCGACCTACTCAAAAAAAGCGGTTTCGAGAAAAACGCGTTTAAAGTTGTAAGTACTGTGGGATATACCTGTGAGGCATCGCCGCAGAATGGAAAATTTCGACACTTAGACACTTTGGCCGGACTCCATCTTTTGATGTTATTTTTAAGACCCTAAAAAATTTTTTAAGCGAAAAAAAAAAATTTTCGATTTTTTTAAAACTCTACTCAGATGTCCCCCCTTAAGAACAGTTTAAACTTTAAAGTCGAAGAAGTAATGTTTCAAAAGAATCAGCGCAGTGGGTATGGTGCTATGATGGGCATCGACTTTGGAATCATGTTTTCTGAGAATCGTCTGAGAAACCCTAAAAAAGCTTTTAAAAATAGTGACAATATTTACCAGATTGACTTGCTATTTGGACATAACATTTCCCCTAAAGTTATTTTAACTTAAACAGGGTTTAACATTTTTATACCCTTGCAGAGGGTATTATAATTTTGGTCAAAAGTGTGCAACGCAGTGAAGGAGACATCTCCGACCCTATAAAGTATATATATTCTTGATCAGGATCACCTCCTGAGTTGATATAAGCATGTCCGTCTGTCTGTCGGTCTGTCCGTTTCTACGCGAACTAGTCTCTCAGTTTTAAAGCTATCGACTTGAAACTTTGCACACACCCTTCTTTCCTTTGCACGCAGTACATAAGTCGGAACGGCCCGGATCGGCCGACTATATCCTATAG